CCAGTGTAAGAAGAATACTACCAATAAGTCAGCTTCGGGGAAACCAGTAGTGGTTGGTGCTGAGGGATGCCCAACAATGCCCATTGTGAAAGTCCCAACAGATAAGTGTAAAATGGCAAGTACACATAGTGTCTACGTGACAGGAAAGCTGGATGGCCAAAGGTGCAACTTTGTCATAGATTCTGCATCTCAGCAAACCCTTGTGAGTATCAAGGTGCTGGATCACAAAGGAGTACCAGAAGCTGTACAGAAGCTCTGTGGTGTGACAGGACATTATGCAAGGTTGTGGGGACCAGTGTGGCTAACTATTGAGCTCATGGGCATGAAGAACAGACAGAAAACATACTTGGCTGACATGAAGACCAAAGCATATTAGGATTGGACTACTTAATACCGAGGAAGTGTGTAGTTAACTTCGATAAAATGACGGTTGGGAACAACAAAGACTTTGGCGTTATCATGGTACAGGACATTTTAGTTGGAATGAAGTGAACAACGGAACAAAAGATGTCACTGAAGACGTGTCACCTTAAAAAGCCACTGTCGAAGAAGAAACTCTACTCGGTTTTGAGAAAGGAAACAGTGAAGCCCTTCATGAAGTTACTACCACTGATGTGACTATTACCGATAATAGGACATTTCCTGATGGAGCAGATGAACCTACGTGGAGCAGAAGCCAACGAGACATAGACCAGTACGGAAGAAGATACGTCCTGTTAAATACGTCCTTTGTTGAATTTGAATTTTGCATTTGTAAATTCTGTACATTTAATTAAGTTATTGTTAATTATCTATTGGTTTAACTTAAGTGGCTATTGTTTGGGACGAACAATACTAAGGAAGGGGCAGTGTTACGACTGTGGAAGTCACGTGATGCTGGTAACACGTAATGAGCATCTAGAAAGATCGAAGAACCTGTTGAACATCCTAGCATTTGCTAGACTCGCGTTCTTATAGTATATAAGCTGGCAAATATAGTGACAGCGACAACTGAATTGCAGACAGGCAGATATAGAGACGGACAATTGTGTCAAGCGTGGTAGCAACGTAAGAAAAGCGCGTGAATCATTCGTTATGAATTATAGCGTGTGTTTAATTTAAAGTGGCTGTGGAAATTAAGTGTATTGTAAAGTTGAACTGAGAAAGAATAAACTAGTTTAATTTAAGAAAAGACTTGTATTGCTGAAGTTTCATTGGAAATAAATTATACGGAAAATTAACAAACTAACACAGAGACGTAACATAACAATACAGTATTGATTCGTAAAAATATTTACCTTCTCAACTAGCTTGGTTCTACATTCTGTGAAGAGGACAATCACACCAAAGTGGAAGTATTGAGGAAAAAGGTATCCCCCCCAAAATCACCTCAGAAGATTGGTGGAGTGCCTCAGAAACAAGGTGCATATTGGACGAGTACCTTAGGAGAGCTGTAAGGGTAAGACGAAGAAGGGAAAACTGTACATGAGATAAACGGATAGGATTTTCAGGCAAAAATTACTCCAACTGCTGGGAGTCAAGAAAGGGTTGATCAACTTGATGATAAGCCAAAGCATAATGATCAGAAGCCCATAGAGGGCAAGGCCTGCTAGGACCCCGTCTCAACTGAGAAACGAAATACTCAGCATGAGCCCTGATATCAGAAGGAAGGAAAACAAGGTACTCTAAGGAAGGAGTGTCATGTAAAGAGAAAGAAACAGGATCATATGCAATCGGGGAAATGGATAAAACACATGTGAGAAATCATATGCAAAAAAGCTAAGTTAAGCAACAGATTCTGTAGGAGAGGTTTAGGAAGGCATGGCATAGTTAGATAGAGAAAAAAGGTTGTCAAAATCCTCCTTGTCACGAACAGGTTCAGAAGATTCAGGAGGATTTCCAACATTATTGGGAAAAGAAGACTGACTCATATAACAATCAATCTCCCAACAAATTATAGCCGAAAAAACCTCAGTCGAGACCCCCACCCCGACCTGAAGCCTGTGTAAGGGCACTGGAAACAGTTGGAAGAATATCAGAGGTTGTGATACTAACTTCAGAATACATTATAAATGGTGATCAATTAAAAAAAAGTGAGTGTTATTGCTTATTATGTGTATATTAATGGATACTATGTAAGGTTTGTTAACCACAATTAGTAATGGCACCTGTAATTACGTCTATGATGCCTTAAAATATAATCACATATTATACTGTTGCAGCACCATTTTTGAATGATAACTGCACAGTTTACCTTGCAAAGGTTTTGTATTTTGACCATCTCACTACAGGCATAGTCAACTTGTGACACCAAATCCACTTTAATAGTGTCCATACTATAAATTCTAATATGTTTTGTATATCTTCAAGAATTTTCACAAGCTTTCTGTGGTCATTAAGTCAGAATTTTTTAATGAAGTATTATAACTAAAATTTCTCCATGAATATATGGAACTAAAATATTGACTGCTCTGAGTGCAAAGTGATTTTTAATGTTAAGATTAAAAATACTTTCTTGACCTGAATGTTCTTGAATTTCATTTGCATAATCGCTAAAACCTCCCCAATAAAAATCAAACTATTATTCATTAAAACTTTATATTTTATTTGTTATTTTCTCTACTCTAAATCTATACAAGATTGGTCAAACTGACCAACCTCATAACCACCAAAAAAAAAAAAATGGAACAAATCTAAGTTACTATTTTTTTTTCAAATTTTAACATGAAACTACATTTGCTTATCCTAAATAGCTTTACTATTAGTAACAGTATACATCTGTTTCTCGTTAATTTTATTGTTTTAATGCTGTTCGAAATAATACTCCCACTATACAAGTTGTAAATAACTTGGAGAACATGTAGCTCATGTTAGCATATCAAATTATGTAATACATGAGCTACTCATGACTCGCTTGTGAACACACATGGGCCTTGTTGTAATAGGCTTCATTACTCAGCAAATTCAAGCCTCAAGGCCAAAAGAAAAAGCAAAGAAATGATCCTGATAAATAAAGCAAAAAAAAATGAATGGATGATGCGCCAATTGCAAAGTGTAAAAAAATGTCTGAAACACCAGCCTTGGTCATCCACAGTCTAGGTGAAAAGAAAAAGCAAAGAAATGATCCTGATAAATAAAGCAAAAAAAATGAATGGATGATGGGCCAATTGCAAAGTGTAAAAAGATGTCTGAAACACCAGCCTTGGTCATCCACAGTCTAGGTGAAAAAAAAAACCTTGATTCAGAACCAAGGTACGAGATGTTTTGGGTCATTTACAACTATATGTTTAATTATTATAGCAAAGAAAGATATCAGTGATGGAAATCTAAAACACATAACAGAGTCACCCCAGCACTGAACCTCTTGAGAACATTCAGACAGTTAGTTTGTTCAAGTCCTTATGGAGAAGACCTCAGATAAGTAGATAGCATACCATACTTCCTCACAAGAACCAGGAGCAACCTCTGGTCACCACCACAACAAATAATTCTAAAGACTCCCCTGAAGGCAGTAAATTAGCAGCTGAAATGCAGTATTAAACTACTTAGTAATTACTGTCTAGTAATAATTAAAAACAGTAATTAATTAATAATTAGGAAATAAGCTAATAACCATGGCAATGTAAGGATATATAATTTTAACAACCTTATTTATTCACTTCAAATTATAACTAACACTTAACTAAATATAACACTATCTCATCTTAACCAGTAGTAATGATTTCATGAATTATTTTGAAGATGTTTTATTTACCAGGGAAAGTTTTTGACCCACAGCCAGCTTGTTGATAATCATCTTGTGTTTCCTTTCCTTTTGTCACACTCAAAACATCATCTTTAGAGTCATTATCATCATCCTCACTCAACTTAGAAATAATCTCATCTTGTTGTGTATCACCAGGTTCATCTGATTGTACCCAGACAAATGTGTTCTGAAATTAAATTTTAGTAAAAAGAACAATGTAATAATTAAATCAGGCAATTAAATACATATATGTATAAGATGTTCACACACACACTTACTTCATCATTTTTTATATCTAGTGGTCATATTTCAAAGTTGAGGATTTGTATCAGAGAAATATAGCCAATAAGGGAGAATTTACTGACAAAAGTGAGTAAGAACCACAAATAAAATTGAAATCTGTATATAAAAACTTGAGTTACACTACAATTAATATAAACTTCAAATCAGAACAAGCTATGATAGAGAACCACTAAATCAAAGTAGGAAATCGGTATTGTATTATCAGTGGGGTAAATTCACTGCTAACGATATTTCCAGCTATAATCTAAAACATATGTTGAAGGGGGTTCTGCAAGCTTAGAATATTTAGGTTGTTCTAAATACACATATTAAGTTAACAATGGAAAACAATCTGTATAATAAAAGTATATTAACAAATAAAAATGTTAAATTAATAACATTCAGTATATTAAACATTCTAACCAGCAGTATTTACAAAAGTAACAATAAATAAATAATACAGTATACTTTACTACAGAGTGACATGTGACAAGTCAAGTTTATCTAACTTTACAGAAGAGTGACACGTGACAAGTTTATGTAATATTACAGTAGAGTGACACGTGACAAGTTAGGTTTATGTAACTTTACAGGAGAATGACATGTGACAAAACAAGTTTATGTAACTTTACAGTAATGTTACATGTGACAAGTTAGGTTTATGTAACTTTACAGTAGAGTGACATGTGGCAAGTCAAGTTTATGTAACTTTACAGGAGAGTGACACATGACAAATTTATGTAATTTTACAGAAGATTTACATGTGGCAAGTTGAGTTTAAGTAACTTTACAGGAGAGTGACATGTGACAAGTCAATTTTTTGTAAATTTACAGGAGAATGACATGTGACAAGTCAAGTTTAAATAACTTTACAGGAGAATGACATGTGGCAAGTTAACTTTATGTAACATTACAGGAGAGTTACGTGTGACAAGTCAAGTTTATGTAACTTTACAGGAGATGACATGTGGCAAGTCAAGTTTAAGTAACTTTACAGGATAGTGACATGTGACAAGATAGGTTTATATAACTTTACAGGAGAATGACATGTGACAAGTCAAGTTTAAGTAACTTTACAGGAGAATGACATGTGGCAAGTTACCTTT